GGAGGGGACCTATGTGTGAGAGGCTTTGCTCATGCCAGGAGGACTTCATGCCTGAGTCTGTTCAAGTGTACAGGACTCCAGGGGTTAAGGACCTGCAGCTGTTACCATGGGGAAAGAACCCACATGTCTGCTGTGTTGCCACCTCCCCCCAAAAGTATTCATTTTTCTTTTTTAAATACGGTTTTTATTGATTTCAGAGAGAGGAAGGGAGAGGGAGAGAGAGAGACACTGATTGCCTGCCTCCTGCACACCCCCTCTCCTGGGGATCAAGCCTGCAACCCGGGCATGTGCCCTGACCGGGAATCAAGCTGTGACCTCCTGGTTCATAGGTGGGCACTCAGCTGCTGAGCCACACCAGCAAAGAGTATTGGTTTTTCCCTACTTTTAAAAGGAGCTTCTGTCTTCCAGACTTTCAAAGAGGCCAGAAATCAGTGGTTTTGGCTACTAAACAGGAAACTCAAAGCCCTTTCCGTTCCTTTGAGCTGACTGGAAGGGCTGGGCCTGAAATGATTACTTTCTTATAAAGGACAGATGAAAAGTTTTGTGTAATTTAAAAAAAAAAAAAAAAAAATCTTTCCTGGAGCCCCGAATACCAGCCTCAGTTGACACACAACATGGAAAAGCACCGCCTTGTTGCCTGGCAGTGCTGACAGCAAACAAATGTGTCTGACAGTCTGTTTGGGAATCTCCTGGTCTGAGGTCTGTTCACTTCATTCTAATTGCTTCCTTAGCCTCCTCTCAGACGCCCCACCTTTGGTACCACCCTCACTCGGGGGAGTGCCAGGCTGCGCCTGGCTGCGCCGGGCCGGGCCGGGCGGGCTGGGCCCCACAGGATACAGTGCCCCAGCCGGGGCTATTCTTGTCTGTGCCTATTTGCAAGATGCCTGTTGTTCTCAGTCGCTGTTTTTGCCATCGTAACTGTGGACTTGGCAGGGGCCCCAGGGCGAAAGGCCTGGTGGGAGAGCTGTGCCCCGGGAAACGCAGCTGCTCCCGGGTGCCAGGCCCGGGAAGCAGGCTCCCAGACGGTGGCCCAGGGGCTGCCTGAGTGGATGCTGTCGGGGACAGCCCTGCTGGGGGTCAGCGCCCGTCTGCAGCCTGCAGGCCTCTGCCAGCACGCTCTCGCAGAACAAGCCTGCAAAAACCCTGGTGGCCCTGCGAGGTGCCTCTGGGGCTGGCTGGCGTTTCTCTTCTGTGCGTGTCTTCCCCTAGTCCCGCTTTCTAGGAATTCTAATCTGTGTCAGGCTCCAGAAGGTTCCTCTGGGGCCCTACCCTGAGCGGTGGCCTCCAAACTTTTAAAATCACACACCCCTGGAAGTAACATGTTTGAGCGTACACTCCTAATATGTATGCTTATAAATGGTACACGTGTGCTATGTGATATGTACATTATAAACATATAGGAGAGGAAAATTTTAGTAATTTATGCAGTTTAAAGGATGGAAGAAAAAAATTATAAGTTTGCTTTTAATCTCACTTTGTCGAAAGTATATGTCATTGAATATACTCTTTATTTTTTAAAACTCTTGTTTATCACTTTTGGATACAGTGATTCAGAAGTATGTTCCAAGCAGAGTGCATTTCAGTACTTCATTTTTAGTTTCCCTCTCTGAAAACTTGCAGAGAGGGAGATTCAGATGAAGCATCGGTAGCATCTTTGTGCTTATGAAACTCCCGATCCCCATGTCCAACCCATCCACCAGTTACACACAGGTTTGTGCTCAACTTTGCCGTTGCTCTTGCAAATTTTCAGAAAAGGGGTTTGTAACAAGGCTACAAACCCCTCTGAAGCTCTTTGTTTGGAATTCTTTTAAATAGATAAGGAAATTGTTTACAGTTCCTAACCATACAAATGTAGGAGTAGTGTAGAGCTGCAGGGAATTTTAGAGATGCTTATTCTTTACAATGTCTTTGGATTTTTAATTTTTATTTATTTGGATTTTTAAAAAATATTTTTAATCCTGCACACAGTAAAATTCACTCTTTGGTGCACAGTCTGTGAGTTTCGACAAATATATAATCTCGTAAGCGCTCCCAGAAGCAAGCCGTCAGAACAGCCCGCCGCCCGTTAGCCCTTCGCGGGCGGGCTCTCCCTGCTCCCACAGCCTGTGCAGCCGCCGGCCGCCGCAGCCTAACGCCTTTCAGATTCGTCCGGCGGCTCTGCGCATCCGTAGTTTGTTCCTTTTTTTACAGTCGTGTTATATGGACGCACCAGTTTGTTTATGCGTTCTCCAGTCGAGAGCCGTTTAGATCGCTTCCAGTTCTGGACAATTCTGAATAAAGCTGCTAAAAGCATTCTCATACGGGCTTTGCGTAAACGTGGATTTCCATTTCACTTGACTAACCAGAACCGCCAGCTCTTGTCCGAAGTGGCCATTTCATATTCTTGACGGCACTTGGTTTTGTCGGTTAAAAAATAAGTTAACGATTCTATTGTGTGTAGTGATAGCTCATTGTGGTTTTGTGGGGGTTAATTTTTAAATTTTTATTTATTGATTGATTTTAGAGAGAGAGCGGGGGGG